CAAGCGCAAGACGCTCAAGTCGCCGAGGAAGCCAGCACTGGTGGTCGAGCCAGCACCCGAGTACATTGAGGATTGCACGTCGAGCTCGGACAGCGAAGACTTGAACCAAGAGACGCAATACGTCGACTGGGACGCCGACCACGACGCTGCCGTCTTTCAGAGCCTCCACGGTCTCATCCAGAAGCGCGCTCTGAAGGCACTGACGCCGCTGCAGATCCCCACCAAGCCGGCGAGTAGCCGCATCCACCACGCCAAGGGCATGGTACGCAAGCGCAGTCCGCGCAAGCCGCACGCGAGCCCGAAAGGCAAGACGTCCAAGGTCTGCCACACGGCCGAGGCCGCCGCAGTCTGCTGCATCTAATGTCCGCCCCGTATTATTTAGCTCTAAAGGCACACACACACAAGTCCGTAGAGTGTGCCACGAATCACTAACTTATAGAACCTAATATGATTTGCTATTCCAACAACACACCGTCGCTTCCTGCGTCCTGCTTGGAGCGCCGCGCCGCTCGCTCGCTCGTGTCCTGTCAAACCCGGGCAGCGTTTGCGCGACAAGCCTCCGTGGGATACTCCAGCATCCCGTACCATGTAATCGAGCCTGTCTCTGGGAAGCTAGAAGGGGCAGCTGAACGACGACTGATGTCTGAGACGAAGTAGCTTCGTCAACTGGTTGAAGGTTAACCACCACCAACACTGGGTGCACGCTTCTCGGCCGTCTTCCAGGCGCAGGACGTAGCGACCAACGCCGCACTATAGCCAACGACCGGTCCATCGATGTCGGTAGCATCATTCTTGTGGTCTGTCGCGAGTTAAAAACACGCAAGTCGCGCTTCTTGGGTGGTGCTCAACGGCATGCATTTTTGGCGCCGCGGACAACGACAACATAAAATACAGGAATTTCGAGGTACCTATGAGTCCGGTGTCTCGAATCCGCGTCGTGCAAGGGCAAGCAGCTCGAGAATCCATTAAAAAAGCGCGCGGAGCCCGAATTTTGTGCCACTGAACGCTGCTTCTTGCGCCTGATCCCGGCTTTCCATGCAGACGACCAGCGTTCGCCCGTCGCCGCGACCTCAACGAACGCAGCTCTTGGGTGCATGTACAAGGACAATCAGCACGCATGTACGAAATACGCGGGCGACGCGGGCAACATCATCGATCAAGTCGAGCGAGCATGGGCTGTCGGGTGCAAAGTTGCGTTCATTTAGTCGATGCCACGAATCTCGACGTGCACCAATCACAGCGGGTTCTATTTTTTGACGGTTTTGATTTTTGCAAATTGGCGCCAAGAGCGGGCAAGATCCCGGAACGAGCAGCCGACCGTGTGCAATACAGCGGTAGCACGTAGCGCGACAGGACCCCGTGCGTCCGGTTGAGAGACACAGGATGGATGTGGCGCCTCCCTTGTGTTGACGTGCCACATCTGCGCGCGACTAATGAAAGCCAGCGCGGTCCTAGTCGACACGAACCATCGTTACTGGTACCGACGGAGAGCTAACTTTTTGGAGCCATGGGCTGAATGGATGCCAAAAGTTGCAGTCCTTGTCAAGTCCCGTCGTGGGACACGCTGCTGCGATTGGAGGCCGCCGTGCTTTACGGTACGTTAGAGCTTTGATGTAATCCCGTCATAGGAGCACTATTCGAGCAGCCGCCTACGGACACGTCGTCACAATGAGATCACGAGCGTCGTCTTCAGCGTGCTGGACAAATCACCTCTCATCACTCGAACTTGCGTCGCACGACGCGACGACAACCTGCGTGTTGCGCTGTCAACAGTGCATGTCCTCGCATCAAGGCGTCAAGGAGCTTGTGCTGGACCCACATTTTCTTCTTTCTTGATCATGTTTGCATGCGACTACTATCGATTTCGGCACACTCTTGCTTGGCGTCAACAAGGACATTGATGTCATGTAAGCGTCGAGGCGAGTATGTGCGGTAACACGAGTAAACCCGTGAAATGCTATAGCGTGTAGTCCAACGGCAATCAGTCAGTTGACGTGTACGTACGTCTCCTCTACAAAGTGCTCCACGGTTGCGCGAGCAAGCATCGAAGAAGCGGCGAAGAGCGATTCCACGCGCCGAATTCCCACCGTCGTGTTCCGACAGTTCACCCCAGTGTACTAGTATGATCTTTCGGTCGTGCTTGGGATGTCGCCACCATTTCCGGTGGTTGTTTTTCGCCAACTCACAGACTATCAAGATGTCAAGTGTGTTTCCGCGTGGGGATGAAAGGGAGCGTCAGTATGTGCTAATAAGCTTACAAACTCTTTTAGGCAGCGCTCGAAGGGAGCCCTATCAAGACCAGCGTTTTCTGCATCTTTCTCGCGCTTGTATGGCAACGCTCGTTTGTGTTCTCGTCGCTCCAGCCTCGGATGCGACATCAAACTTGCTTTCAGCACAGCCCACCGCTCTCATTTTGGTCGTCACCAAGGGAATCACAGCATCCTTCGTCGTCACCGACGAGGATGCAAGTATTGGCTTGCATGCGTCTCTGGACACCAACGGCCATACTCTGTGACGTCGTTTCGGGGCGCTTTGCTACCTCAAGACGTCAAGACAGGCGTGGACTCTAGCTTGACCGCGTGCCCGTAGGCATGTGGAATGGGAAGACGTCGCCTTGTGTCCTGCTACTACATGCGATGATAGAAGCCTTTCTTCGTGCTGCAAACGCTTGGGCGTCTTGGAAATCCTACAGCGGGTATTGATCTAGACCAACTGAGCCCCACACTATGCACAGATTACCACTGGTCTAGCCTGCATAACGAACATTATCACTTACCTACATGTGCATTCTACGACACCAAGGGTCCATCAACTTTTTACGGACCCTTGACTACACACATCACCGACCGTGCCACGGTACTGCACACTGCGTGGCTCATCAGACTTCTTACAGCGCTCGGCGTGTTGCTGCGCTAGTAGTGCTGGCAACACGGCAACGGCTAGTCATGTTGGCTAGCGTCCGGACTTGGGAGAGACCTCAATGCGACGACGATGCGGATGTTGGGGACGTATAGGATCAAGCGCTTTTAAGTTATACACATAAGAGAAGCGAGTCGTTTGCGTCTTTAGGAGGCAAGCGGTCGCTCAAAGCGAATCACCGCCGGGCGTTGCGCCTCGCGGAGCCGCGACATGATCTTGGAGAGGGTGATGCCGCAGAGCGAGAGCCCTACGCGGAATCGCTGCGTTAGACGAGGATCCACTGGAAGACGATGTACCGTTGACCGAGAGGATCACGACGCCGCTCGTGATCTGCGTATACTTCTTCGACTCGGTGCCATCAAAGCTCTCCTTGACCACCGCGCACTTCTTCACGGGGTCGTATCCGAGCTTCATGCCC